AAACTGTATACAATTTACTGTTAGCGACGCCCAATGAATATAAAAGATTTTAATATGGCTCTTAGAAAAACATTAAGTTGTCTCCTAATAAATGACTAACAGTAGTCGGAAGTGTAGATGGTTGAAGTGTAATTCAAGTCGTTTCAATTCATATGCAGGCATATGCAGCCAATGAACGTTTTTCAACTTATTTTAATAAGTTTAAATTGCTTCATACGCCAGTTCAGTTCACATGTGTCTATTCTTGTCTGTGAGCCATAAGTGTATTGTCATTTGTTGAATACGACTCTGTAAACATTTGTTTGGTTTGGAACACATTTTTTTTTAGTTTAATACTATGAAGATCTACGATTATTGTTTGCCTGTGCGTCTATATTTCTGAGGTGTTCAAATCGGGGGTTTCTGCCCCGAAAATAACTAAAAATCCATGTTGATCAATGTTTAGAAAGCTTTTCGATCCTTATCACTTTCTCAACGTTATTTAATAGTGAGGAAAGCTGCGGAGGCGAAACCTAAATACCCAGACACCGCGACGTTTTCGATAGCAGTTGTTAAATTTGGGTCGCATAAATATATATCCTCTCTTTTTTTCACAAAAACATCTGCCGCCTATATGCGTGAAACGAACAACAGAAATGGTTATTTTAATGGTTAGTATTATTTGTACGTTCAATGGAAAACGAGAGACCATTTCAGACGGGTGGCATTTTTAATATGCGAGACACTAATTTCCGCTTGCGCAAAAGTCTGGCAGGTGTGACATTATTATACAAATTAACTAACAGCTGTAAAACGGCAAAACACATTTTGCTCAAACAAAATGAACAATATGACGTACTCTTTATTGTTCTCGAATACGTACAGTGTGCTCCACTATAAAGTGTCTTTGAGTGAATTTTAGAAAAAATGGTTTATCTTATTCCCATTAGTTTGGAAATTAACTCAAATTTTTGTTTGTTATGTATTCATCAGTATCGGAAGCCAGTTTGCATCTAGCCGCAATCTAAAATAGAACCACGTACATATAATGTATTTGCAATATATTTTAGAATAACATCCCAAATAGAGTCAGGAAAAAATAAAACTGATTTCGGGATAAATCTGGTGGACGAAACAAATGACTATGTTATAGTTTCAAGGCCTACTTAGGGCATTCTGCCTTTTTTAAAGAACCAAGGTTTGGCAAAATCAATGTATGACGTATGATGTATTTTTGGAATCAGATTTAAAGACTCTATTGATCCGAGTAAAAATAAAATATGGCGTCCTCAAGAAAAAATAAAGTTGATGCTTGAGAACAAGAGACGAAACGTCATATCGAAATTATAATTATGCCCTCTTGTAGAGGAGAAAAAGTGGCAATGCTGATGAGCATTTTGCTCTAAAATCCCACTACAAATAGAGTTAGGAATCAATTAATACCATTTTTTCCGTCTCTCTCCGTCAGTTCTTTGAATTTCCAAACCTTCTAAGCTGCATCTTCGTATCTCTTATAGTGTCCAAAATCCCAACGGTGAAGGTCGATTTTGGAACACCCTGTATATACAGGGTGACTTCGAAGTTGAGTCATTTATTTTAACAGTGAGTAGATCTAATCAAAAGAAATGTTTTTTTCCTTTACCATTTTTCTGGTAAAATTAAAGTAACAAAGGTATACCCCTTTGGAAGTTTGAGTACCGCCCTGTCTCAATAATAATATTATGTGCTCGTGTTTGGCAATAACGGATATAATCCGCCTTATCGGTTCATCGCATCGGAAACAAAAAAGCGAAAGAATTTGGAACGATGTTTTTACAATTATTTTATTCAGTTGTATACAGTCAGTGTCAGTCGGTAACGCGTGAGTGAATAGTGGTGTCTGCTGCGTGGCTCAAACGAAATAAAAAATGGCACATGTTTATGCGGATCGGTTTCCCTATCGAGTGCAACCAACCCCTCGTGCCTTTGTTAATGTAGTACAACGGGCTCGTGAATCAGGTGACTTAAGACCTCACAGGTGATAGCATGCCGGTGCTCCAAGACCTCACGATCAAATACAGGTCCGCACTGAAATACTTGTCGGGAGGATACTTTATAAAACAAGGTAAACTTTTTATTTTATTTTTACACACATATTTTGGTTTATCTTCCTTCTACAATCATTATCTGAAAATTAATGACTCAACTTCAAAGTCACCCTGTGCATTGTTATGGTTAAAGATAAATTTGGCTCAAAATTAGTGCACCGCGAAAAATTTGGGTCAGCTTAAACATCTCGGTGCTTTTTTATTTTTAGATCTATTTTGATGAATTTTTCGAGGATAATATACCTTTCATCCGGTTGTTTATCTTTCATTATTCGATGTTATTTTAAGGCTAATTTTTCAAATTTATAAAAGCGGACGCCAGAAAAATGAATTATCGTTTATTAGAGCATTGCGTTTTATGAAAAGTGTTACTTATTCGCAGTTGATGAGAATTGATTATTTAGTGTTGTGAAGTGATGTAAACTGTATAGATGAAAGATGAGTAGAAGCTAAATCTTCTAGAGCGAAGATTAGGGATAAAAGTATTTATTGGAAATACTCCAATGTCTGGTTGCAAAATTGTCTACGAAGTAAAATTGTAGATTATTATAACTCCTCTTGTTATTTGACATTGACTCTAAAATCTAGAAGATTATCGGTTGATGTGATGAATTTGGGATATGGCCTCCCATATTTTCATAGTCTTTTCCTTCCTTCAAAAGGCTAGGCTATTTCTAAACACCTACTGTGAAGTTGTTTTATTTTTGAATTGTAGGAAACTTCAGGCCGATCAAACAGATGATATAAATCAAAATTATGAACAATTCGATGCAAATAGATACTTGTGACATAACCTCAAAATAGAGCGCTGCATCGGAACAGTAGAAAACTATGAACATCAAATAAGCCATAAAGGCGTCCTACAATTGTAGAAATGACATTCAGTAAGTCCTTTTAGTATCAAGAACAAAGTCATACCTATGGTTTTAATTAAAAATGATAAAGTAACATGAAAGTAAATGATCCATAAAAGATTCCAGTATGTTTAAACAATATATTAAAATGATTTTAAAATCTACAATACCTAGCAGCAATATTTGTTTGTTTCTTAAATGGAAGATGCAGCGTAAATGATACATTTGTATTTAATAATAATAAAAATGTATTTTTATTTGGGCGGATTTTAGCTAAAGCCATACAAAAAAATACAAACATGAATAAAATAGATGAAAGCCAATAGACCATTGATTCCCAAAGTGGTCTATATCGACCCCTAGGGGTCTATGACAACCTGCAAGGGGTCTACGTCAGCGAAAAAAAATTTGGGGGTCCATGAATTACTCCTTCACACTGAAGTTCGCTGGCTGTCGAAAGGCTTATGTTTGACAAGATTTTTTGCACTTTTTGAGACTATTTTAGAATTTCTGGATACTAAAGATAAAATTTTAAAAGAAAATTTAATGAAGAGGAAAACAGACATCGCCTATTTAACAGATTTGTTTACAAAATTTAATATGGTTAATTTGCAATTACAAGGCGACAGTTTAAATTTGATTAAAACAAAGTCCATCTTATCAGCGTTTCTTGCCAGAGTTAAATTAATGAAGCAAAATATTGGACGGGGCGAATTTTCTCTGTTAACCAATTTGTCACAGACAAGCTGCCAGGAAGACGACGTTTCAACTTACGTTCAACATTTAAATGCCCTCTATTCAGTTTTTGAATCTAGGTTTGAGGATATTTTGACTATGGTAATACCACCGTGGATAATTAATCCATATGGTGACATAGAAGAAACGAATGTCATAATACAAGAGGAACTGACTGAACTAAGTACAAACGAAAAACTTAAGGATCAGTTTAAAAACGGATATCAGCAATTCTGGCTGCAAAACAACATACCCGTTACTTATCCCGTATTATGGAATATAGCGAGGAAATTTTTAATTTCCTTTCCATCGTCATACCTAGTGGAAAGGGGGTTCAGCGCTGTTACCAATCTCCTAACGAAAAAAAGAAACAGACTGGACATCATTAGCGGAGGAGATTTAAGATTAACCCTTACAAAATTGACGCCAAATGTTGAGAATTTATTATTAAAGCATCAGGTTCATCCTTCTCACTAAAAATATTGACTTATTGCTTATGTTATTTTATTTATAGTTTATTTTATGTTTATTGGTGCCTGACCAATAAATGCCCGCATTGGGAATAAGTGCCCGCATTGATTTTTTTAAAGAACCCCCCTTTATAGAAATTATTTTTTTTAAATTATTCTGATAATTCAAGGATAGGTACACACTAAAATTCGTTAATTTTTTGCCTATTTTTAGATAACTTAAACGTAGAAGAAGCGGAATTTAATCAAACTAACAGTTAAATTATTGTAGAACATACGTGTATGTTATAATTAATAAACGAACTCGCTTATTGTACTATTTTAAGTAAAAAACTTTTTTTTGTATTATTTTTCACTTTTTTTTATTTTATCCCTATTATTTTTTTTTTCAATGTGGGCTTTTATTCCCAATGCGGGCACTTATTGGTCTGACACCTGTTTATTTAATGTTACGTATATTTTACATAACAGATACAAATTTTATTTTGAGTAGTTTTAATTTAAATTCAATTGATAAATGTATAAATTAACATGTGTTTTTACTTTTAGTTTTTAACACTAAACTTCACTACAGTTAGAAATTTACAGGAAATCAATATCAGGTAAGTAGGGGGTCTACAACACGGAAAAACATGGCAAGGGGTCTACGACACAAAAAAGTTTGGGGAACTCTGCAATAGACTGATAATAATGAAAAAAAATACTATTTTTATTAGCAGGAGTGGAATATTAGTATTTTTAATTTGGCACTGTAAAAGCAGATTTTTGATATGCCTTTTACAGCTATCAAATTTTAGTATGTATATATTGAACCATTGGGTATCTTCGCTGGACATTAAAGACGCTACACTATAATTACTTAACATTAGAATTACTTTATTTTAGAATGCTGCTTTGTAACAACCGCTAGACGACGAGCGACGTTTTATACACAAAAAACTATAAGGATAAACCGGCACGTTAACTTGTCGGCGACTCCACTAACTTAGCTAACGATCGATAAACTTTAGATCTGGCAAACATCAACAATTAACAACGATCACATCCCGAACGGTCCGCTAACGGTAGCGAAAGGTGGCCCCGGCGCGTTCGGGTGTCGCGCCGCGAACTGGGCACTGCCGCGGCCATCGGTTGCTGCGATCGCGGTTGCCGGCGGTCAACATGTGTCACCATGGCGGACGCGATCTTGTTGCAGTGTAGACGGAGCGGCGACGCGGCGAAGCGGAGCGTCGGGACGGCGACTGGTGCTATGCTGGAGACGGTGACGCCGACGCTATCCGCCGGCACCAGGAGTTCGCCGTCCCTGGCGTCCAGCGTTGCCTACACGCCCGCAAAGTCGCATTTTCGTTCGGATGCGTCGCTTGTTATAAATGACGAATGTTTGCAGAAGAAAAGCGAATGAAGCGATATAATCATATATTAGAAAAACATTCGCCAGTTTTGCTTAATTAGACACACATAAAAATAATAATTAATAATAATAATAATAATAATAATAATAATAATATCCTCATCGTCGACGTCGTCGTCGTCGTCGTCGTCATCGTCGTCGTCGTCGTCATCGTCATCGTCATCGTCGTCGTCGTCGTCATCGTCGTCGTCGTCGTCGTCATCGGCATCGTCGTCGTCATCGTCATCGTCGTCGTCGTCGTCATCGTCTTTTAATTTCAAAGAAAATTCAGTATAATAAAAAAATATATGATACCAGTGGCGAAGTCTGGCTGACAGCTATTCTACTCAACCACTGGAGAGGAACACCAAAATAAGCGAATAATTGAATTTATTATTAAATAATATGTAATTACATATGTCAAAATCAATGAGGTAGACAGAAAAAGTATACATATGAATTCGCCAGTTTTGCTTAATTAGACACACATAATAATAATAATAATAATAATAATAATAATATCGTCATCGTCGTCGTCATCGTCATCGTCGTCATCGTCATCGTCGTCGTCGTCGTCATCGTCATCGTCTTTTAATTTCAAAGAAAATTCAGTATAATAAAAAAATATATGATACCAGTGGCGAAGTCTGGCTGACAGCTATTCTACTCGACCACTGGAGAGGAGCACGCAAATAAGCGAATAATTGAATTTGTTATTAAATAATATGGAATTACATATGTCAAAATCAATGAGGTATACAGAAAAAGTATACATATGATGAATAACATAGAGCAACACTGGCATTCGCAGTAAAACATGCATGTGCAGATTATGCTTTTAACTTTTAAAAACTATACTGGGCGTACAAAGAAAGGAACAACGTACATATATACATATATAAGAGTTACACAATAATAAATACATAAAAAGTTGAATATACAACATTGCATCATTGATCCTACTGTATATAAAAAAATAACGTTTTAGTTTGAATTTGAACTTGTTCATATTAAGAAGCTTGAATTCTTGCGGCAGCTGATTATACAGCCTGATAGGATTATACAGGGTGGCGCATCGAAAACGAAACATACGCATTTACCGGCAGCTCAGTTTTTTTTTGGAAAAACGCTCAGACCCGTCGATTAGACTGGATTTAGGGTGAAAGGTTGACGAGAAACTATTTTTTCCGGGTAGCCGTAAATTCTAGCGATGTATCGACTTCGAATTTGGAATATACGCACCCGATTGACTCAGAAAACAAGTTTCCATCTCGATCATAGACGCGCAAGGGTTTTTAGAAATTTTTATTAGTCGTTTTTTGACGAAGCTGAATTCTTGCCAGTATCTTGAAAACGAGGCATTTTCGGACGGAATGGGCCATGGATTCGGTTTTAGCGACCCCAAAAAGCATATTATAAGATATGTTGTGCCTTTTTGGTAAGAATACCCCTATACATGGTAATTATATGTTAAAATGCTTTAAATGCGGTTCAAATGACCATTATTCCACGTATTTTGGGCTGCCCATATCGAATCCGAGGTCGTTTTATATGTATGTGATCCCGTTTATGAGGTAGATCTAATTACTTAGCGAAAAATTGCAAAACTAGGCGTTTTTTGCGACTTTAAGGTGCTAAAAATCCATTTTTACTATCGATAGTTACATGAGAGCGGAGCTTTGCATAATGCGGTAATTTGGGGCGCTGAATATGAATATCACAGTGAAAAATTTCTTAAGTGTTATTAGACTGGATATTTAGGGTGAAAGGTTGACGAGAAACAATTTTTTCCGGGATAGCCGTAAATTCTAACGATGTATCGAAATCGAATTTGGAATCTACGCACCCGATTTACCTAGAAAACAAGTTTCCATCTCGATCATAGACGCGCAAGGGTTTTTAGAAATTTTTTTAGTCGTTTTTTGACAAAGCTGAATTCTTGCCAGTATCTTGAAAACGAGGCATTTTCGGACGGAATGGGCCATGGATTCGGTTTTAGCGACCCAGAAAGCATATTATAAGATATGTTGCGTTCACGTTCCCGACTTACCCATTTTGTGCCTTTTTGGTAAGAATACATGGAAATTATATGTTAAAATGCTTTAAATACGGTTCAAATGACCATTATTCCACGTATTTTGGGCTGCCCGTATCGAATCCGAGGTCGTTTTATATGTATGTGATCCCGTTTATGATGTAGATTTAGATCATCAGGATTACTTAAATGAGCTGGAACTGAGGTTTTACGTCGCGACCACACACTTAATTGTTTTAAGACATTCCAAGTACCTTTAATGCCGTTAATACTAGCGTAATATTAATAAAAAAAATGTATCAGGCATGCATGAGCATGTATCGTTTTCGTCAAAAATAGAATGAGTATATATGTACAAAGTAAATGAAAAAACAAACAAAACATAACATCCAACAACAAACAAGTTAAAATTAGTGATAAAAAACGATATTTAAAAACTGACACAGTCGCTAATTACATAAAAACAGTTACTGATAAAGTAGTTTTTCAGCTCAAATTTGAATTGGCCTATTGAGGTGATCCTTTTTAATAACTATATTTAGCACATTGCACCCTTTTTAGTCCACGTTGTTGCAAGAAGGAGGAGGTCACCAGATTCAAGGGATTAGTCGCATTATTTTCCCAAATGAAAATTAGTTACAGTTACAAGAAAGAATAGATAATGCGTTTCACAAAAAATTTTGCGGATATACGTGTTTCTCTATTAAAAGATGCCGCACTTGTCCGTCTTGGTGGTCTTTTTTTAAATAAAGCTTTGATTATCTCATTTGGTTTTTTATTTTCCCGAAAACAATGCACTATAGGAAAAAAACACAAGAGTAATTTTTTGTAACAAATTGGAAATTAAAAAAAAAAACGCGTGTACTAGGCGTACTATTTTTATTTGGAAACATAATGCCACTAATCCCCTGTATCTCCGCCACTGGTGCACGTTGATTTTAAGTAAAGACTTTTGAATGTAGACAATACTTAGGTAAATCCGCATACCAAATTCTAGTTCCTCCCAGTTGATGGTTTTGCAGATAAAAGGAATTGCTTTTCATTTTTAAACTTCAACACCCCGTATCTTTTTAATGCAGCCCTTGAGGAAAAAATGATACAAGAAGACCCTTCTTAAAATGCGATCCTGCGGATGGTGTTTCTTTTGTGATAACGACTTGTGAATCACCCTGAATAAAGATACAAAGAAAACTTCCAATGCAGATTTGAAATCGAGCCACTCTTGACAGACGAAAATTGCTCGATTTCATTAATTGTCAGCCTTGTGTGCTTCTATTAAAAATGATGGGCTTCCCATCCGTACATTGTATATCGCACTATCTATGCCCCACGTAAAAATGAAATATGCTATAAAAACGAAATTTCGACATAAATGTTTCCAATAGGCAACGCATCCTCTTTCCCGGAATATCCGAACGTAATTATTAACCATCGCATTGCAGCGTTCGGTTCTGGGAGAATATTTTGCGCTCCTTTTCGCTAAACATGCACGCGCGAGCTCCGATGGCAGCCAGCCAGCATTTGCAGCTACGCAACATCATCAGCTTCGCTCCCGAAATAGAACAAAGCAACAGATACGTTATCGTAGCTCCGGCCTGGGAAAACTCCGTACGGTGACGCGGCAACGCCGCAGTGACCTGCACCACCCCCGAACCATTGTTCAATCGCCTTCGGCGGCGAGAGGGGAGACCAAAAGGAGGGAGGGGGAGGGGTAGATGGGGAGGGGACTCCATTAAGCAGTTCGCCTCTTTATCAGACAGGTGCGACGCGAGCTGTCGCTGATTGACAGAAAAAAAATCTGGAGGATGACAAAAAATGTCAAGCAGATTGACAGTAACTTCGTACGTTTTTATCCAGTGCCATTACAGTAGATATCTCATCGAGCTATGTATATTGTTTAAGACTCCTTCTAACGCTCCTTTCACATTACACGAATTCGCTCGTACGGGAATTCGTGTAATGTGAAAGGAGCGTAATCGTCCTTTCTATGCTTGCTCAGAAATGTTTTTAATTGTACCACCCTTTCTGTGGTGAATCAAGACAGAGGCTGTAACTAGCTTCCGGTAGCTCAGTTGAAGATACGAGGCTCAAAGACAAAGAGTGGCAAATGGTGACAATAGGGTGTTGGATCTCAATGAGGCCCAAGCAAGAATCCAAAAAGGGAGGTCCCAAAAAGGGTACGTCAAGTACAAGCTACTCAGAGGCTAAGGGTAATCCAAAAATAAGGTCAAAAATAGAGAAGGCTCTACAGGATTCAGTAAGGGTGTGGTCTTCAATTTGGAAAGAGATCGGATGCGTTAGAAGAGTGTTTCATGACCTAGGCATCTCCAAGTGTCCCAGTGATGAAATATCATGAGACAGCAAATCATGGAATCAAATGATGAACATTGAAATCCAATGCTCTTGTGAATTCGTTAATCAAAAATCATGTGGAATGTCATCAGCAGACACATAATAGCTTAAAACAAAATATGAAAAATGTATGCATATATATATATATATATATATATATAAAATTAAAGCTTCCGCCTTTTGTTGGGTACTTCGACAAAAATTTTAAGCAAAGAGGACTCTTTATACCTTTTTTATTCTCTCTAGCTTTCAATGGACTTTGGCATCATCATCAGGAGCTGCAATTGCATTGATAACAGTAGCAACAATAGTGTAAAATGAATTTTAATTGACTTATATTATTGCTACTGTTATCAATGTAATTGCAGCTCCTGATGATGATGGCAAAGTCCATTGAAAGCTAGAGAGAATAAAAAAAGTATAAAGAGTCCTCTTTGCTTAAACTTTTTGTGGAAGTACCCAACAAAAGGCGGAAGCTTTAATTTTTCACCTAACTGGTCTAGACGACAATGACCACGTCTCAAGATATATATACTATATATATATATATAGAGTAATGGACAAAAGTATATAGAAAAATAGGAATATTTACCTAAATACCTTTAGAAAACGAATTCATACTTCATTGCTCCTTAAACAAATGCGTTATTAGTAGAAAAACTAAATTCCTTGTTTTTACATTATCTGCAATGAACACAATACAAGTCTAAATATAAACATTTTTTATGAGGGATAAAAATATGTAGACAAATTCTTTTCAACATTAGTTTAGTACAGTTTCGTGTCAGAGGTGGATTAGTTTGTGTTCATCAACTATTGTGGAATAAGTTGAGTGATTTTAAGACCATGGTCCAGAAATTTCTTTCGATGTGAAAACTAAGATCATTGAGTTATACAAAGATGGCCAAACTTTTGCAAAATAAATACAAAACAAATTAACCATTTTTGTCTAATTAGACACACACATAACTATGCTGAGCACATATACTTTTTCAGTCCACGCTGTTGCTAGAAAGGTCTAATAAAAACATGTTGTCATGGTGGTTGAAATGAAAGAGGAACCATTCTGTCTGGACTTACTTAAAGATGAGCATGGGTAGAATATTCGAATTTCATGGACGGTCGGATCGTTATAAGTTCATACGAGTAAGCTTTATTTATAGCAAAATTTCTGAAAAAGGAGAGCCTAATATAGAGTAACATGCCTACGCTCCATACATCTCCATTTGATATGTCGCCAGACCAGGTCCGTCATTGTCCGTCCTTCACATGCCTAATAATCTAGTGTCCCGTTGCATTAACAAACGAACATCGCGGCAGCGATGACATCACGCTCCGTCCGATGCTATGTTGTGACTGCTCAGTCTGATGTGACACTTGGGTGATAGAAATTAACAGCTGAATAATCAAGCTTGTTTGATACTTCAGAATGCCCGTGGTGATGTTTGTGAATGTCACTCTAAGGGCCAATTTCACCAACAACAGTCGGTTATTCTCCACCTATAGCGTAACAGCCCGTCAAATGCAGCGAATGAGCTTCAAGTTCCAATCAACAAATTTTAGCAACCAATAGCTATGAAATGTTGAAAACAAAATACTGTCAAAGTATGAGATGACATCTTGTCATTGAAACATCATCAGCTTATTCCCACAAAAGCATTCTGGTTTTTTAATATCCATACATCCATAAAGTTGAATATGTTTCGTTGTTCAGGAACTGAACAAACATCCACACTATATTCACAGCGATTAAGAAATTCCCAAATATATGCCTTAAAGCTACCAGCAAACCTACAAAACCTGCAAAAAAACTACAAATTTGCCATATTTTTCTTTTTTAACGAGTACACATTCTAGGTTATATTTATATTAGACATTATTTGAATACAGCTGATTATTGCATTTCAAGGAGTGACACGTGTGTGGGATCTGACAACTCTTGGTACCAGTCACAAAACATACTCTGAAGGTTTAATTCCATGCTATTCAATCACAACACGGTGACTTGTGTGGTTGTCAGCGGCCATTTTGTGAGGGTGCGACAGGGTTGCCAGATTGTACAAAATCTTCAAATTTGTGAAGTTTTTTTTTCATACTCCAACTACCACGAAGGCCTAAGGCAGTGTTTGTGCACTGATTGCAACGGTTGGATGATACCAAAAATATTTTCATAAATAGGAGATCTTTCCCATTCCGGATCGAACAATCTACCAAAGATGCTTATAATCATGATACCTAGTAAATCTTCACGAAAAAAATGCAAAACCAGCAAATGTAAAAGATTCATTTCGCACCCTCCACCACGGGACGTGATCGTCGTTAGACTTGGCAACCCTCGAGTGTCAGATAGATATCCCCGCCAGTCAACGACCGCCAGTCAAAGACACAAACAATAAACATTACTAGTTTTTATGATTTATGGACTTAAAACGACATTATTTGTGAAACATTTATCATATTTTTTTGTCTATGTCCATAGTAATTGCATTACACATATTATCTGTGTTTTAGGATGGAGAGGACATAATGTTTTATTGCTTTGAAGAAATTCATTAACCCATAAATTGATAAATGATTACTACTATGACGTAAAGGAAGATGAGGAATTGGATGGAATGTATTTTATATTCTATTTTCTTGCAAAATGCAGACAAATCCACACTATTCAACAGGTATGTAATGATAACTTTCAGTATATTGAAGCTGGTAAATTCGAGAGTGCCATGCATTAACAAACGTCCAAATCTGCTGCCAAATCTAACAGCTAGTAAATCGACCTATTATTTGCCGCATTCCCATTCGCTGAGGGGAATAACGGGTTGTTAAATGTACACCTATAACATATATCAAAATACATGAAAGTTGTCCTGTTTTTTCTGTACAAAAACATCATATTGGAATCAAAAAGTGGTCTTGTTTATAATGCAGTCTTCTGAGACCTTTCACAGCTTCCGCCAAATTGCATTTCGATAAGGTATTTTCCTATTGGTCCATAATATTAATGTTGGTGAAATCGGCCGTAAGTCAACAAAGCAGTTTAACACTTCTTAAATGTTCGATCAACACACACATTCCTACACATGACGTATCTCTATTAGCACGACAAACATTGTATGCCTACACGGCATAATTTCGAAGCTCGCAGCTTCGCAGACCACTCGACACAAACATCAACAAATTAACCCTTCACCGCGAAAGCGTCGCCATGTCTGAGCAAAAGCGATTCAAAGACCGTTCATCCCAAAGGAAACGGGCATCGCCACGCTTTGCAAACAAAAAAATGCGGGCATCATTGAACCCTACCCTTTTTTTGCTTATCTCTTGGATCTATGGGGGTACTTTATACCTGTCACAGAATACGAATTTTTTGCTTTATTAGCTACAAATGCAAGGTAAAGAATTTTTTTGGATAGGTGGACGTGTCTATTTACTTTGGGTAATAAAATCTCCTTGGGTTTGACGTTTTTACTTCTTCTTGCAGTATATCCTCGCGAGTATAAGGTAATCATTATGAATATGAAAACAAGGATATGCGTATACCTTTTTCTCCGAAGCAAAACCTTATACTTTTTAACTACGCTTCCGAGGATATGCTTCTCTTTTATGAATACGGCTCAATGAAGTCTAAAATTTGTATAGTTTATCTGAAGTCACTTGAAACACTGTAAAATATCGGGTGCGTTTTATATATCTATATTTAGCACGCTCTGTTGCTGCAACAATCGCCAAATTTCGCAGCAAATATCCCCGTATAAGATCAAAGGCAGTTTCACCGGTCCACGTGGAGTAAAGCACGCCTATGCGTGGACATAGCCAATGAGAAAGCGTGTATTTCAGAGCTCCGATCAAGTGCAGGTGGCTACTGAAAATTGAAACAGTTTAGCCAGTGACGTGTAGCGGTGAATAAACGTGTTTTCTTTAGTCTGTCCGTGTTTTTTCATAGATTTTATTAGTTAGTATATGTGTTTTTGACTTTTGAATACTCAGTTTACTTGTTGATTTAATTGTTGTGTTGATTGTTCTTGTGTGTCCTAAATATGGCTCTTTGGAGACCTTGGGAAAATGCTCCAAGCCACGAGGAGATGGTTGATGAACCTGTGCAGGCAGAATTCTTTCATAAAGATTTAGAGGAACAGACCCAAAGAGTAATCCTAAATATGTATGTCTGAAAAACGAAAATCCAGATTCCTCGCAAAATCAAATTTTAAACAGAATTTGTATCCTGACAAAAATCAGTCGGTCTACCATTTATCGGGTTATA